GTGGAGGGGGTTCTTTAAGCTATGGGGAAATGCAGGGAGACAAGCCTGGGAGAGTCAGCCAGTTGTGATCTCATATGGACCTTCTTGCACTGCCTTTGGTGCCTTTTCATAATCTTTCTTGGTGGCATGTTCAAGGTACAGAGCTGCTACTGAGGTTCAGCTCTTCTCCTGCCACCTCCTGACACCACTAATAAAGCTCTTCCTTTCCTCTAAGTAATTATTTGAACAAACTTTGGCTGCTTTTGGGGGAGGGAGAGAAGGAATGAGTTCACTGCTTCAAGCCTGCAGGATCTGGGGTTGCAGAGGGCCCTGGCCATGCACTCATTGTGCTCTTTGCTGCTGAGGCCTTGTGGATCCAGAACATAAGGCAGCATTTCAGACAAATCTCAGGCATGGCCCAGGCATCAGGGAACGGTGTCTGGGTCGTTCTGCTAATAAGGAGGCAGCCTCTAATGAGTCCACCTCTGCTCTTCTGACTCTCCGAGAGGGAAGGGAGAAACCTCAGCATGTCCCTAAGTCAGGGTTGATTTCACAAAAGAGTTGTACCACTCTACAGAGCATCAGGAATCCACTGGACAGTGTTTTGGTGCCATCATGCCTGGCAAGTGGATCCAGTGACCCATTGTTGAGGTATTAGGTTTTGTGGAAAGTGTCATGGTTTCAAATCCAGAAAGTTCAATGTGCAAAGTGTTGCTCATTCCAGGCTGGAGTAGGAATTGGGAAGTACAGGTAGGGGCCCAGACTCATGAAGGCACTCGTCTTGCTGCCATGCAGAGAAGGCTCAGGGATAGGGTTTGGCTAATGAATGGCTGGTGTTTGTGCCAAAAACTCCACTATACAGCTCACCAGGAGCAGGATCTTCTCCCCCAGGGCCAAAGCTCCATTGTGCTGGGACCACAACCAGGTCCCTGCTGTTTTCTCTAGTAACAATAACAGTTCATTTACAGTGCACTGTTCTTCACGGGCCTTTCTGCAAAGAGGGTCCTGTAGTGGGAAGGAGCAGCAGGGCATTCCCTGGCTGAATAATGCTGTTCTGTCAAACCCACCCCACAAGCAAAGCACAATCAGCTCTCACTGCTCCAGCTGAAGGATTTCTGCTGGTGTTCCCCATCCCAAGCTCAGGCCATCCAGCTGGAGCTCTTGACATGCTCCACAGTGCACGTTTTGTGATAGAGGTTACATGGAGGATTCCAGGAAGGAGATGAAAAGCAGCAGATGCAGAGGGGTCTCCACAGCTGCCTGGACAGCTCACAGGGCACCACAGTCCAGCTCTGCATCACTGAGGACACAGTTCAGTTTCTAGGCTGAATGCCACCTGTTACTCTAATTTATTCCTGTGAGATGCACAAGCTATCTTGCTGACCAGCCAGCTGTACTGAATGCAGAAGGTCCTGGTCCCACTTTCTATTGACTTCCCTGCTCTGAGAGACCAGGTCCCCATCTTCTTCAATGTGCCTGTGACGGAAGTTTTATTAACGCAAAACGAATATCCCTCCGGAAAATGAAGTCCAGAAATTAATAATGAATTAAAACAACTTGCCACAGGCATTGCTAATGAGCTCTTTGTCTGCGCAGCTCACATGAAAGGAGGTCATTGCTCAGCCATTCCCATCGCGAATGGCAAGAAGATTAACCGTTAACATCGAGCGCCAGGGGCTCTCCTGGGACATCGGGACAGGCTGCTGCTCAGATTGTGCCTGGCTGGGTTTTCCTGCCTTATCCCTGCTGTGCAAGTTTGTCTTGAGGAGTATTTACTACCTGGAGAAGACCCCTTCCTTCTCTCCCCTCCGAAGACTCAGGTTGCCTGTCTGTGTTGGGAGGACACAGGAGTCATCCCAAGGGAAAGGACAATAACCTTGCAGAGCTTAAGGGTAGAGAGGAAAGTAATCTTGAAGGGGACTAGCAGGGCTTAACTTCACTGCTTCATAAGCCTCTTCAGGGACTCTGGCCCAGTAACTAACTTGGCACTGCTCCAGTGCTGGGTCTGCATCTATTGTTCTTTCCCCTTATCTTGCAAGGCAAAGGGTTATCCTGCCTTATCTTCTACCACAGGCTTTGGAGGAGGCCCTACAGCAAGGGCACTGGAAATAGTGTCTCTGCCAAGCCCCAGGGGCAGGAGTGGGGCTGTGCTGGGAGAGTAGCATTCACTATTGGTCATTAGAGAAGGGAAAGCTGTCACACCAAGCTGACCATCTCTCCACGGCTTTTTCATCATCCAGGTCTCACTCAGCAGAAATAAGGAAGCAGCACATCGCATTTACCCATCTTGTCTGGGAAGGGTGGCTGAAGGCAGGTACCTTTGGGTACTGCTCACCACTGGATAGCTGGGGCTGGATGCAGTCGTGCGTGAGGCAAGGGATGCTGGGCATCACTTCTCCATGAGGTGGCTGAACAGCAGAAGGGGATTTTACCCCTTGACAGTGTCCCTGTGGCATTGCTGGCTGACTGGAGCAGAGGGACCCATCACTCCCCCATGTCCACAGGAAGCCTGTTGCACATCAGCTTTCTATTGCTCTGTTCTGCTTTTTTGTGAAATATGAAAGTTCAACCTATTCCTTCCAAGTGCTCAAGCCAGGCTTGGGAAAATGCTATTATGTTTGAGGCATGCTGTTTCACCACCCTTCTCCACCCCTGCCCTCTCAGGTGGGACACTGATGGCTCACTCCCTTGCTTGGCAGCACAATTGCTCGTTTATCAAATAGCTGAGTCATCCCAGAGCACTGGGTGCCAGGCAGTGACAGCCATGCAGCACTGCACCTGCAATGCCCTCAGACATGGATTCGCCTCCACCAACTGCCCCCACTTTGGCCTTGGCCATGGAGGAGTCAGACCTGCCATGCATTCCCATCCATCCTCTTGCAGTAGTGCTGGCTTGGGAAGAAATCCCTTTCTAGTGCAGAGAGAATTCGGCCCAACCAGGAGAGAAAGTAGCAGGGAGACTTGGACAGGAGTGGGGGAAAAGCACAGCTTCAAACTACACACTGACAGGCTCAAACCCCTCTTCCTCTCTGTCCTTTATAAGTTTTTGCATGTTTGTCTGTTGTTAAGCTGAAAACTCATCCTACACCCCACAGTAACCTGCCACCTGCACTGAGCCTGTGTATCTCTGAATCCACCCAGCAGTCTTACCATCCTCTTTGCCACAGTATTTTTGTATATCGTAAGTCAAACTGTAGTTTGTTCTTCAAATGCTCTGGCAAAGAGAAGTTCATCTTACAGGAGACAGGGATGCTGCAAATGTCCCTCTCACCCAGCACAATGCCAGGAGAGAAGTATCTGAGGAGTCTCCAGAAAGTCTGGATTGGGTCCCTGAAGGGACAGGGGATCTGACCATGACCTCATGCCTGGTCTGCTCATCTCTGAGCACTATGTGGGAGCTGATTCAGGAGTGAAAGTCAATGCAGCTGGCAGTAAAGTCATAGCAGAGACTCCAACAGTTGTGCCTGAGAAGTCTGACTTGGGAATTCAAATTAGGCTGGTTGCATCCCACCTATTTGTTATCTGCCAGCCTGTTCCTCCTACACAGCAACTTCTTTTGTATTCAGAGGCTTCTTTAAGTCAGTGCTGCATTTAGGCACAGCTGTTGCTTCTTTCTTTGCTGGAATGACCTAGAGGCCCCCTGTGCATTGGGTGCCCCAAAGGGGCAGTTCAGACATTGTTGTAACTGCACTAGAAGAGAGCAGGGAGATGGGTGGGTGCAGAATGGTGTGACACTCATATGAATGCCAGGGAAGTACACAGGGAAAGTCTCAGCTGTGTCAGATACTATGATAGTGCTGGGTTTAGGAACATTTCCAGAGGTTGAGAGTTTTATGAGTCTGTTCAGGTGTTAAAGTACAAATCAGGGCTTTTTCAATACAAGCTGTGTTTCTGTTTACAGGGCAGGGCAGTCGATTAGGACAGCAGGGTTATCAGGTCCTCGACACTCATTTTCTGCACAGCATCATCATTTCACCTCCATTTAACAACAGGTTCATGTCTGGGGTAACTGACTCAGCTGCCTGGCAGACTGGTTGGGTCAGTCAAGCCTGCAGACAGTTTTATTTTCCCTGAGGCTTGCAGCACAGAGATTTGTAGACCAAATCCTTATAAGCAGTTACCAGGGAACATTGTTGGGATCTCTGACCCCAGCTGTGCCAGTGCTGCTGTAACCATTGCAGTTACAGCAATGGGATCTGGGGCTATTGCAGGCTGCAGCCACCTGGATCCTTTGAACCCCTGTTTCTGACCAGTGACAGTCAGGACAAGAGCTGTGTTATGGCCAAGGCTTCAGAAGTCTGGTCAGAAACACAGGAGTTCAGCAGACTGGGGAAAATTCATAGAGGCAGAAGGACACTTTGGAGTTAAAAGACAAGATTTTGCAGAAAAGGTAGTAATGCACCGTCCTCTGTTTCTCTGAGCTTGGCTTTTATGCTCTTACAAATGGTATTTTGAACATGTGTGCTACTTTCCTGTCTTTCTTTCCAAGTGCCTAAATTTGAGGATATATCCTTATCTCTATATGACAAGCAATAGTGAATGGGAAACTATTTTGTTCTGTCATTTACTTCTCATTTGGTCCTGTCACATCCTATCTTTTGGCACTATGTATTTTGTTAGTGTTATGAGCATATATCCATGCTGTGTGTGAGAGAGTGGGTGTCTGAAATGTGTTTGCAAAGGTCCTTGATAAAAAGCTTTAACAACTAAAATTATCAAGAGAGGCAGGAGGGAGCTGGTCCTGGTAGATCCAAGCACTGGCAGGCAGCAAGTCATCTGTCTGCAGGAACATTAAGCACTGAATAGGTCAGAATTGCCAGGTTTTTATTATTTACCTGGGAGGGAAACTATTGCTCATTTCAAGGGGCTAATGTTCCTTGCAGATTTACCTTGAACACCAGAGAGAACATAAAAGCAACAGCTGTGGAGTGTCTTCAAGGATAGTGTTTTCCTCCAGAAGCACAGTGCAGTTCTATCCAAGTTCTCCTCATTAATCACTTTCTTTCATTCTTGTCTTCCAGCCAAAGCTTTTGGCCAAGGAGTTGCTTGACTTGGTGGCATCTCATTTCAACCTGAAGGAGAAGGAGTACTTTGGAATTGCATTCACAGATGAAACGTAAGTGTGAGAAATCAAAGACCTAAGAAGCAACTCTTAGATATCAGAAAATCTTGTTGTGTTTGTCCTAAGCAAAACAACCAGCATAGAAACACTGTGCAAACCCATGGTCCTAAACCAAGGTCTAGGAGGGCATGGACCTCACATCAAAGTCTGTCCTGTACTGCCCCTTCCTCAGAGGGCTAGAGGCCTCTCATGGCAAGTATGGCTGGAGGTGAACAGAGGCAGTAACAATCCCTTCCTAACCCCATGTTCAAAGAGTTGGAGTCATTTGCCACTGTTAAAAGGTTACCTTAAGCCCTCATGGATCTAAGATCGACTCACTAGTTCATTACCAGATTGGTGGTTCAATCAGTGTTAATCAGTCTATTCACTCAAGCAGGCTTAAAAGTGGTGCTATATTATTTCAAGGAAAGGAAAAAAAGAAACCCAACCTCACAAAATTACTCTACTATTTCTGATGGTTTAGATCCCAGATTCGAGTTTCTTAAAAATAAAAAGAAAGAAGGAAGTGTGGGAAAGGAAGGAATTGCCAAATTTAGCATGAATTAAAAGCATTTTTAAATATAAAATTTCCATCATGCAAAGGATTTGACCTCATCAGGAATCATACAACAGCCTTATGGCTGAACTAAACCAAAGGATGGGACACTGACACTGCAGTCACCTCAGTGTTGGTTGTTTGCCTAGAACAACAGCTCCCAGAGTCCTCGAATTACCACAAAATTTGAGGGTTTGTCTCAAGACAGGCCACGTCTACCCCCTGATTAAACGGCAAGAATAAAATTAGCACTGGAAAAGCATTAAGGTCTGCCAAAGTCTGTGATTAGTCCTAGGCTGTGACCCCTCAGTGCTACTGCACAATCCCTGCTACATTTTTCCATCTGTCTGTTTTCTCTCAGGATTTACACTGTCCTTTGCATATGGACTGGGTCTTGTATGCACACCCACCTACTCCACCTCGGTGTGCAATGGGTTTTCTCTTCGTATATGAATCAGGAAGATTCATATTCAGGAAGTATCATTTTAAAAACCCGAGATTTTCAAGCCAGTGCTGTGCCTCCAGAACAGCTGAGTCAGCAGTATTGCTGTCGTGAGCCAGTTCCGCTCTCCTGCTGAAGTAGCAGGGAGATGTAAATCATCTGCTGGAATAATGATTCGGGATCGGGTAATCAGAGGCTGCTGGATAATTACACAAACATATCCTCATTCATCTCGGCAGTAAGCACCCCTCTAAAGTCAATTCCTTTGGCAAGTGCCTGCCTTGGACAGCTTGAGGCCATCTCAGGACACAGTTCCCAGGATGGAGGAACACTCAGCATCAGGCACGTGCTGACACAGTACCTGAATCCCAGAACCCATCCCAACTCACTGACATGAGCAACTCAGCCCTGTAGGAGATCTCCAACCCAACACAAATTAATGAGACTGATCCTCCAGGGAGGAACAGCAGGAGGCACTGACCATTTATACAGCAGGAGGAGGAAATTGCTCTTACCACAGTCGTATTCTGTGTTGGAGAGAGCAAGTTACTCAGTGGGTGCTGCCTGAGGGGTGTAGGAAAACCACCAGAGAAGCCAAAGCATGCTATGAGGTGAAAATGTTCCCTTAACAGTCCTGACAGCACAGGTGAGAAACGAGACACATGTCAGAGTGTAACCAGAGAGCAGCTGAGCAAGCCCCAGCTCTCAGTTGAGCTGTGAGGGCACAGGGCTCCCCTGGGAGTGCAAGGGAAGCTAATGAGGAGGTGTCAATTAGAGAGAGCCCAGGCTTCCCTGGGGCCTCCAGGTTTAACGCCAAATGGTGTGAGCAAAGATATGAGTTTGTGATGGGAGGAAGTGCAAGTATCTGATAGAGGTTATTGAGGCAGAGCTCAAAGATACACAATGGATGCAGATGGATGTGCTCTGCCCTGGCAGGATTTCAAAGGGTTAGGTGATGGCATCCACTCTCTTGGTCACCTTCAGACCTGTAGTCAAGATGAAGCAGGGCGCATTTTAGGAGATCCTCATCCAGCCCACAGGAAAGTTTTGGGGACACCCTCATTAAATCAAGGAAATGCAACTCAGAAACAAGCCAGTAAGTCCAAGCTGATCTGAAGCTGGTCTGCAGCCCTTCTTCTGTCCCACTGTGACTCTGACATTTGCACTGAGGCTTCTTCAGTGCTGTGAGAATAACCTTGACAAAAGTATTTCTTCTTCAGTTGTAAAATGCTTTGAATAGAGTTGTCACAAACAGCAATTGTTTTATTTGACTGAACATAGACAAAAGAATATACCTGGGGCCTTGGACAGGGTCTTGGAAATAGATGTTCCATGTCAACTTGAGAAAACAAACTGGGCTGTTTGTACCACAGATCTTAACCTGCAATGTGAAATGGAAATATAAAAAATCCCCTTTCTCCAAAAAGTAGTAAAAATAGTCCCCTAATTTGTATTTGCAGGGCACCTAACACAGCCCTTTAGCTGATACAGACCGAGCACGTGAAAAGAAATCCTTTAATTCTGTGACACAGACCCTCAGGGACTTCATTCTCTTCACTCCCCACTGAATTTCCATGTGCCTTACTTGAAGGGAACTCATAACCAGCTAAAACAGAAAAAGCCTGGTTCATAAATGTAGTCTGGGGTTGGCTAAATTGCAAGTTTAGAAAGAAGAAAAGCCACTAAAGTATTAAATCAATTCTTCTATTTAAGTGTAAAAGCTCTCTGAGAGTAATTTATTTAGAAATTATTTGTACTGGGGATTTCCATTCATTAGTTGTGCTCTATCATGACAACCTTAGAAGAAAATCAATAGGAACAACCTTTGCGTTGGCAACTTAATAGTTTCTTGTGATAATATAGGGCCATTACTGCATTCAGCGTGACTAAAATTAGATTGTCAGACTATTATGGAGGGGGGAATAACGCCTTCTATTTTAATGATCATAGGAACGCTTTATGGTGAGCCATTAACTGCGGGAGAGCACAGGTCAAAAGGGTGTCCCTGTACAGCACGTGGGGCCAAGCTTCACAGGAAGCCAGAAGAGCAATATGCTGGTTGATTAAAATTGAAAAGGAATGGGGAAAGGGCTTTTTTTTTTAGTTCAGCTGGTTATGAATCTCCGCTAAGTGCCCTTTCCCTTGGCATCAGCTCCTCCAGCATTCACTGAGAGCAAGTGGTCAGAATTACCCTTCTGTTCACTGCAGACTCCCCGTCTGGGCCCTGGGCAGGTTTTCCACATCCTTTACTTGTCCTTAGATGTGAGTCACCTGCTCCATGGAGAGTTACCAACTTTTGCATCCCACAGCTCCCCCTCTCCATGGGTCCAATCAAAAGCTGACTCAAACCCTTTTGCTCCCTCACCAGAGAACCTGCAGAACAGCTTCTTCAGCTGATTAATGCATATGATAAAAACTGCAAGGCACTGAGACCCTCAATATTTATGTTACATGTATCTAGAGATTGTACTAACATGATAAGGCAATGATAGAGGATGCCCTTGATCAGCACAGGACCCTCTGGCCAAGGGGATGGCAAAGGGGCAGCAGGGTACCACCCTTCCCTGGAATACTCTCTCATCCCTGGGAACTGGGAGGAAGCCTATTTCCACCTTCCAGCCATGTGGCAAAGCCAAAATGAGGGAGCAGGTGTCCCACATCCTGGTCGAAGAGCTGGTCCAGTGGAGGGTGCAGCCTTCAGAGTAACGCCCTGCTCTGGCACTGGACCAGGTCTTTTATCACCAAGTCCACTCTTTTCCAAAATTTGTATAGTTAAACTCATATAGCTTCTTGAGCTTCTCAGCCTCTTCAAAAGTATTTCTTAATTGAAAAAATCTGTGAACTTAAAGGGTTTTTTGTTTCTGTCACGACTGATGAAACCGTAAAATAGTTTATATGGTTCCTATTATGTGAATTGATCTTTCTCAGTGTCCACTCAATTCAACATGAGTTTGACACTGAAGGGGTGTGAGTTGGTTTATTGGTCTAAATACCTTTATAACACAAATCAATGTGGATCCACTTTTCAGAAAACTGGACACTAACCAGTAAAACTCTATAAACAGAACCACCTGGAGGCAAAGTACTCATTGATGTACCACACTTTACTGATAAAAGAAAACAGAACTACTGCACAAAATTGACAATATGGACCCTGGGCACCAAAATCCATACTCAGTCTGTAAACTGAATGGACCCAGTTTCTTTTCCTAAAAGCAATTATGTGGTTGTTGTTGACACTCCAGTTTAACTGCCAACATGAGTACAGCCAACAGATGAAAATGAGCTGGCTTCCAATATCTGACCTCCCTATAGGTCCCCCAAAACTGTTTACACCATTGTTTGTGAATACACTGATACAAACACCCAAACGAACAAATCAATGGTGATAATGAAACAAAAGCTACTTTGTGTCTCTAAATTGAACCATGAAGGAAATCCAGTTAGGCTTAGGCACGTATGAATGGGATCCCAGTGCAAGCTGCCTAAATCGGTCCATGAAAATTGTCAGGATTGCTACATGCCTAGGGTTATATGCCCATACTTTTCTCTGTCTTACATGGGATTGTGCTCCATGAATAGTTCTGCTGACGACAGGAGGACAGCTTCCAGAGCCAAGAGTTTTGTGGTGTAACGGCATCGGAGTTTGGCTCCCCAATAGACCACATTCACAGGCAGATGCCAGTGACTATTCACTGCTGCTCTCTACATGCCACACATGCACACTTGAGAACAAGGAGTTAGGTGACAGTCTGCAGTCCAGAAGCCCTCAGCGATGAAAGATTGTAAGTAGTAATTGAGTACAGTGAGCAGTTAGCTCCCGGCAGGGATTTAAGTGACCTTCCTCCTCTGAAGGAGCTTTGGATTTAAGCTCCATGCAGATGAGAGTAATGAAACTCTTCAGCCTAAAAACTCAGTGGCAATTAAATGTGTTATTCAGTGCACACAACCGTGTACGTGTGGGACATAAACGTGTAACCTGGTATGCACACGTCTATGCAGGTAGTCATTTTGTACTGATTATATCAACCAGATTCTCCAGTTAAAACACGGTGAGAAAGAAAAGTCTTTTCAAAATAAGAAATATACCTTGAAGTGATTTATTGTGCTGTGCACCATGGCTTCTCAACCCTTCCTTGTGCATGTTAGGCAAAGCCAGACATTGCTGTTGAATAAACATAGAGGTAGACAGTAAGTCCATTGTCAACAACTCTACCTGGGTGGGAACTGGTGTGTAACACCATCAGCTGCTGGTGGCTGCTGCTTTGGTGATACAAATGGAACTGGACAGGTTCAGGATAGGATGTCAGGCTTAGTGTGGCTTTTCCTTGCTCTGACAGTGCTTTGTACTGTGGCCTATGTGGTTAAATGCTCAGGTTGTCCTTTGGCTAGGAATGGGTGAGCATGGCTAGTTTCAATCCTCATCTGTACTTCACAGCTAATTTCAGCCTTCCTGACTCATGTTAAAAGAAACAAAATAGCACTTCAGGACGAGAAGAATAGGGAAAAGGACAGATTTCAAAAAGGGGGGATGCAGCAGGAAATGTAGAAACCTCTAATATTTAGGTGCCTGGGCTGTAAATCTTTCAGTGGGGCTTAATTTCTGTCAGCCTGGAACATCAGTCTTCTAAAAACCAAATCTTGTTAAAGTACCCATCTGTACTGAACAACAGGGAATGATGCAGGGTTCCTACAGTAGCATTGGGCAGCTACATGCCAGCAGCAGAAATGATGGAAGGAGACCCCACTGTGCTGTGTGCCCAGCTATGGAGCCTGCTTAGAGCCAGGCCAGTTAGTCCCTACACCCAGCCCAGCTAGTATGGCCATCCTCACCCTGATGCCAGTGCTGTCACAGGCTGGGCAGTCTTCCCTCAGTCCATGAGCTGCAATAGAGACATATGAAGTGACCAGTTGGGCTTGAAATTCTGCAGGATATCACCCCTTCACAGTAGGCAGGCTGCTACCAAGTCTACACCCTTAAAACACGGTTCAGGTTTCCCTATACCTAGAGAAAAAATTAAATAAAGAAAAAGCTTATGTAAAAACTTCATCTAGAGGAAAAAACCTGCCTAAAAATTAAAATACCTTGGGAAGAAACACACAGGTGTCTGCAGTAGGGGATAAAATAGGCTTTGATCCTTTTGTACGCCAAAAGATGTGCAGGATGAGTTTGAAAATACCTGATTCCACATGTATCACTTGTACCACATTGAGACTCAGTACTTTTGCAAAGCAGAGACAAAGGCTGAATAAACTGAACACCTGACTTCTATATGGCAAAATTTGAGAACTCTTTTGTAGATGTCTGATCCTGAACCCATGGCAGTGATGAGTGGAGCTCAGCAGTAATTTTGAATTCCTTAGTGGAAAGCAGTGTGCTGGCTGAGGTGAGTCCACACAGGGTCCCAGATGGTCTCCAGGGCAGCCTGGAGCTGCCTGGGTGGGAAGGTTCCTGACCTGCCCATCCTCTTCTGCATCCATGTAAACCAGGGCAGCAGTACAGAAATTCCAGCTGAACCCAGGTGATTCAAAGCCTGCTGAAACTGCTGCTTTCTCCTTTATTTATTTTTCTAGGAAAGATGGAGGGGTGGAGCTGCAAATCCAGTTAAATTGCTACAGAGATGTCACTGCCTACTTTCCTAAGGGGCTTCTCAGTCGCCCAAAGCTCATGCTTCCTTCAAGGAGGAACGGGCAGACCCCTGTGAAAGCTGAATGTGTTTGCTGACAGGGTACATTGGTAAGGCTTGTTGCAATTCTAGAAGTTAATTTATTGGGTTTTTTTAAAGCCAATCTCCTTTTTTTGGCTTTTTTTTTTTTTCATTTACAGTGGAATGAAGAATTATTCTTGAGGATTAGCATGAGCTGGTGAATAGGCACTGGAATAAAGCTCAGAACATCTGAGTTCCATTTCCTGCTTTATTTGCTGCAAGATTCTCCCCCAAATCACTTCAGTTCTCTCGCTCCTTACTTTTCTAGACAGCAGAGCACTGAAGGCAAGGGCTGCCTCTCCCTCTGGGTGAAATCTGGTCTGGCTGAAATCAATAGCAAAAAACTCACAGGATGCAGCCCTAGCATCACTGGAGGCAATGGCAAATTTCTGGCCAGATTCAGTGGGGCCTGAATTTCACCCTAGGTATTTCCACAGTGCCTAATTTAACAGGGCCTTTATCTCAGCAGGGGAGTGAGATGCCCCCGTAATACAAATAATGGTATTTATAAAGTCCCTCTCACACACACACACACACAGAGCGCTCTACAACGCGGGGAACGTGACAAAGAACAGAGTTCCTGCCCAGGAAAGCTTCCAGCAGCAAGGCACGAATGGATAAATTGCAGCAGAAAATAATGACGACAGGTACCATCTAGGCAAAAGAAAAGCAGCATGTGGTAATTGGAGCTGGAACGCTTCACAGAGCAGCTGTTTTTCAATAGCTCTCTGAAGAAGGAAAAACGAGGGCCGGGCAAACCTAGAGAGGCTATTGCAGGCATGTGGGTGGTAAATAAACTGTCTCAGTCTGTAGAGTCAGGTTTAGCCTTGAGTGAAATACTGCAGGCGTTGTGGAAACTCTTAACCATAAGGATTTCTAATGAAAATCTTGACAGACTTTTAATGATACAACTGCTCCAGGGGCTTGTAATAAAAAGGTGAAGCTTATAACATTTTGGGCTGTCCTGCCTGCTCAGTGCTACCAGCTTTCACCCTGACAGATTGAACTTTAGCAGTTTGATTCCCAGACTGAAGCACTGCCAGGATGATATCGCCTCCACTTCTCAAACATTTACTGTGTGTTTTTCAAATATCATGCAATAGTCAAGGGCAAATAGCAGGTGGTTCAGCTCGTATTTTGTAACACCTCAGACCTCACTGCCACGAGGAGCAAGAAACCTCTTTGGTGCCAGGCTCAAAACTGTCTCTTCTCTTGCCAGGGGACACTTGAACTGGCTTCAGCTGGACCGACGGGTGCTGGAACATGACTTCCCCAAAAAGTCAGGACCGGTTGTTTTGTACTTTTGTGTCAGGTAAGTGTGTGTTGGTGAGCCCTTCCCATGGGATACAGCTATGGACAACCTGTTCCCTGCAGACCAGGAAATGAGGTTGTTGGTTTCTCACACTGTAGAAACACCTGTGGGCAAACAAACACTTCTGCAGAGGTTTCTTTTGAGCTCTTTGAGTTTGAAAACTCTTCTCACTCAAGCGTAAACAAGTAGTAGCCACACTAACACCCCGAGCTGCCCACAGAGAAATGAGGACAAGATCAGATGTTATGTCTTTACGCTTTTACTTGTGAGCTTTGAACTGGAAAGTCCAAGCTGGGTAGGGCTGAAGAACAAAGCCCTCCTTCTGCCAGGATAACCCATTTGAGCCAGCAACCTGGAGGGAGAACACTCGCTTCCTCACCAACGAGCCACATTTCCTCTGGATTGTGCCCAGGGTGTGTGTTCTGTCAGGGACCAAATCAATCCCAGTACAGTTCTGTCATATGCACCTTCCGAACTCACAAATAGCAAATTATGGCATTTTATGGCAGCCAGTTGGCTTCTACACAGCTGGATCAGACAAGAAAGGCTTTAATGAAGATTATTGTAGCTTGGGAGCTTCAAACTTCATCTGGGATTTTTACAAGGAACTGTTAGTGCTTGAAAGCTGCTGGAAGCTGCCAGTGCTCTTGTGCACACAGTGTCTTTGCCTCCAAGGGAGATATTTTCTGAGAAGACAAATTTGCTCTTGCAGCTTTGAAACGCCCAGAGAGAGGCCGGGGGCTGGGATGGCATATGCACAAAATTAAGTTGAGGGTTTTGACTTACTTTTAATGGGTAGCTCATGTCTAGAACTAGCTAGTGCAGCATTACCGTGTCTTTTTCTGTTAGGCTTTCCACTCCAGTGTTATATTACATCTGACATCACTCTCATTCATTCCATAGTGCCCACAAAAAATGAAGACCTACTTTTGAGTTTCTTCCCCTGAGTGAAGCCTTTTTTTAACTTGCATGGTGATTGTCATCCATTTGACTTCCATTACAAGGGAGGGTTCTCAAAAGCAGAGACCCTTTGTTCTGTTATGTCCCCCTCTTTAGTGGTGTATGGCCCCAAGAGTCCAGAATTTGCCTGCTGTCTCTCAAGAGAAGAGTTTAGTCTACATTTTGAGTGCTTCAAACCATAAGGGTAGATCAGAGCTGAACAGCTCCAGTACGTAAGATCCAGATCCACCTGTGCTTAGAATTAACAAAATTGTTGATGCTCGTTAAGTACACATCAACTCTGTTATCAAACATCTTGTCTAGGGGCCAAATTGAGGAATCTGTGCTAGGACAGGGATCCCATGGAAAGCAGGGAAAGCTTTGGCTGAGCAAGAGCTAAGTGCAGGTTTTAGGAGTGGAACTGTTAAATGTGTGAAAGCCGGTGCTACTGAGCCGCTCTCGTATTCATTTCAAAGACCACTCAACAAGCATAAATATTGCCATCTGTATTGTTTTATGAAAGTTGGCAGCACAGTGGAGACCAGTCATTCTAGCAGGATCGTAGCCAAGAGGCATCCTAGGATATGGATCCATATAACAGTTAGTGAATGAGTGACCCCTCCTGTTCTGGAATTGCAATCTATAGGGAAAAAATCCACACATGCATTCAGTGTCTGAAAAGTGCGTGTGTGAAAACCAGACTGATTGTGGACTTTTATTGGGGGCAGTAATGAGTGGATTGTCACACTAAGTTATGATTTGGTTTGGAGTGGAAGGCCAGATGCTTCAAGATTTAGGAATGGGCATTAACTTACCATGGCTTTTCTACTGCTTATTTCCCCTGTGGATGTCAGATGCTGGCAGAAGTTGAAAAAGTTTCTCAGCACATAAAAAGTTCCCATGTTCATCCCCAGATCTGATCTGAGCAGAAGGCAATTGAAGAAACCAACTCCAGCCAGATGGCTGAAGTTGGAAAGGCCCCACATATCTGTCACCCAGTGGTTTCAGTTTTGGCTTGGGAACTAAAGCAAGGGCTGACAGAAAGGTTGTGAAGAGACCCACCCATAGACGGGGTTTTATTTTCATAATCTGAGGGATGAGTGGCAGTTTGAAAAGACATCCATAAACATACTATAAACAGAATGCTCCCTCTACCCTGCTGCCCTCAGCTGGAAAGCAGAGATAATTAGTGCTGTGCCATACTTAATCACAGATGTGTTAATTTTTGAGGGACCATAATACCTACTATATCATTGGTAAAGGCTTGCCTGTGTTTGCAGATACCTTCTTGCATTACCCCTCCCAAGCATTGCAGCTGACAAAGCTTAGATTGGTGCTGGGCATCCTAATTGGGGAGATAGTAGTACAAGTAAATGTATGTGCCAGATGCTCATGACACAGAAATCTGTTTACTGCATTGGGATTTAGTAATGGTGTGGGTTTTTCCCTCTAGTCGAAGTAAATGTACAATTCAATCACACTGTGTAGCTACTGAAGAGATGAAGCCTCAGGCAAGAACAGTGAATGGTAGTTTGTGAAGAGGATAAGTTACATTTTCACCTTTTTTATGTGAACATCAGATTGTTTTTACCCTCAACACTCCTGCAGCAATGTTGATGGGCAGCATGCCCACAAAAGATGCCACAGATTTTAGCTTGCTGTAAAAGTACATTTAAAGGGAAGCCTGCCTTCTTAAGAAAAGGCTTCTTGGAAGAACCATGCTGAAAATAGGAAGTTTCGCAAGCTTTGCAGTGTGAAATTCTCCTCCCTTTTTTAAATCTCTGCAGCACTGTTGAAGCTTTGTCTTTTGACACACATTTCCTTGGGGTTTGACATTGTTGAACACTGATCTCCAGTGTCTTTACTCTCTTCCGTAATCAAAGACCAAAAATTTCACAGTACCGTGTCAAAGAAGGAGGATTTTAGAAGGATGTTTTTAGCATTACTTTGTAAGAAATTTCTTCTGCCCTTGTACATTTACACAGCTACTGAAGCCTCCCTGTCTTCAGGCTGTCATCCAGTGCTTCCCTAGAAGCTTTCCACTGAAAACAATGCAGGAAACAATCAGAACTCTTGGGCAGCTTGAACTGCCCCATGGCTATTGTGCAATATTATTTTATAAGACTGATAATATCTGTTTACATAGCTCTAAAGCCACACATGAAAGCAAGAGGGAGTGCCACGTGTCATACAGGGGAGGTGGGGTGTCTGGCAACTGGATGGGAGTGATATTAGTGCTCATCATAGAATTAGCTTCCCTGGATGCTTCCTATAGCCCTGGTCACTCAGTTGTTGGTGAAATTCATTCTCTGCCTTGGAGGGTTTACAATGCAGGTAAGCCAAGTCAGATGAGAGTCATCACTGAAGTCCAGGAGAAGCGAAGGATGGGGATAAAGGAAAGAGGGATTGCTTGGTTAGTTGATTTTACAGAGGTGTTTTGAGACCAGAAGAGAACAGAGAGCTGTGTGGTAAAGGGCAGGAACCGAAGTGTGGAGACCCACATCTCAAAGAGTTCAGAGGTAAACAGAGCTAGCAGGGCTTCAGATGAAGGTTGTTATACTTTTGGCAGGGAAGGAAGCATTTTGCTCAGACTCACACATACAGTAGGAAGGCAAAGTTAAACTTTGTGTAAAACTTTGAGGTGAGAGAGGACCAAAGCACAGACATGCTGTTCGTTCGTGGAAAGTACAGTCAGCCAGGCTTTGCAGTGAGTTCTCATCCTCAAACGATGGCCTTGTGAGATTAGCAATCCTTAGCAAGGGAACCGCCAGCATGGGTCTGATCTCATTATCTTCTGGGTGTTTGTCATGCTGTTAATTTATATGAACAAACTTAGCAAATAAAATTCACTCCGCTGGTGGATCTTTTCCCAGGAATGAATATATTTGTTCTCAGGGTAGCTCCACCAGCTAAATAGGGACAACTCACTGCAGAAGTCGTCACACTAAATCAGAATATCTCTCACATGGAAAGGCTTTTCTTTCAGAACGGCATGGAACAAAATGAGAAATAAATCCTCAATACTCAAATACACTGTGGGGCAGAGTTTGTATCTATGGCCCAGCAGTATTCCCACAAAGGAATGCCTGTGTTCAGCAACATCTGGCATGTGTTCATACATGCTGGCTAGGCTGAAGTCAGCATGGGAGCTGTGGGGGCTCAGGACTCTCAATATTGAGGCCAGAGATTTTGCCAGGTTACCACAGTTACTGGAGAACAAAGTGGCCCTAAATAAGAGACCGGCACTGAAACACAGAGTGCAAAGCTCGTGGGTGTCATTGCTCCCTTTAACCTGACAGAAAGGAGCTCTGTGTGCAACAGCAGTGGTCCAGGTCCAAGGCAGGTGGGACTGATGTCTGAGATGAGACTCACCACACACAGACCTGGCAGACAGCTTTGTGTCAGGGCTAATTAATGCAGCCTCACAGTGCAACCACAGGAAAGAAATAGGCACTTTTCAGGAACAACTCATCCAGCTTATCTGAGATGACTTCGGAATTCAACAAGTTTCAGGCTAAAATACCTGTCTCTTCTCTGACCTCAGACCCCTGCTCAGATGTAGGCATTTACATCTTTTCACCTGATGAATCCGTCTGTATATCAAGGGCCGTCTATAAATTTAAAATTATTATTTCAAACAGGTTGGCACAGTCAGGGTTGAGGAAGGATTTCCCATCTATAAGTTTTGCCTGACTGCCTAAATGGAATTGGACCAGATTTCACCTGTTAATGAGGCCTTATGCTATTTTAGTCTTTCAGCCCTCCTTTGTAGCCAGTCTTTAAACCTGTGTTCCATTAGAAAAGGACTAATGCTAAAAATGAAAGAAGCAGAAGACCATTTGGAAACAGTTGACCCTGGAAGGAAGAGAGACAATGGTTATTCATAGAGCTAGTCAGACCTTAGAACTTGTCACTGAAATGCATTGCTGCCTCTAACACAGGCAAGACACATGTGTGGGGTGCAGATTCACAGCATCCCGCTCTCAACTTCCCCAACTAACTCACCTGGCAGTCCCAACACACCATGGCTGTGGTGCCATTCACATCCACTCAGCTTTGCT